TTCCGCCCTCACCTCATGTACTCCCCATCACTCCTATAATCCATAAACGACTCTGATCCTGAAACCTCTTCAAAATCCTCCAGCACCAGACTGGTGGAGTCCTCACCCAGGGGGCCACTGTCGGGTCTGGGCATCCTAGCCCGGGGCAAAGATGCAGGGAAGTTGGTCGGAGCTGGAGGTGGGGAGCAAGGGGGTGTTGGCAGGATACAGATGGGCCTGGCCTGAGCAGGGGACAAGGCGGCCTCAAAGACTTCTTCCTCATCCTTCTCAGACTCGGGTCCTCCATCCGAGGCTGAGGACCCCAGAACATGGTAGAGACTGGGGAGGCGGATGTCGAAGCGCAGCCCAAACTTAGCGAACAGCTTGTCATTGAGAGTGTAGAGCTTCTCGGAGATGTCATAGCCCAGCAGGGCTGAGAAGAGGCGGGAGATGTATCGCTCTCTGTTCAGAAGAAGGTGGAGATTTTTCCGGGGCCAGGAAATGTAGCTACATTCGGTCTCAGCAGTCAGCGTGACCTGGGGGGTTAGGAGCAGAGAAAGATTTAATGTCCAGAGACACGGGTGGCTATTTTGATTGGGGTAACTTCCTACGGCCTAGCCGGGAGGAAGTCCAGGTACAAGCTTCTTGTGTGCTCTGTGATGTGCATGCCCTGTGTCAGGAGCTGGGGACAACCTCGTGCTCACTCACTCCACCGCCTGGGGCCTCAGTCTGCCCAGCCCCTCTCCTCGGTTCTTCTCTTCAGTGGTTCCACTGCTGATAACAACAAAGGCTGCAAAAGATTCTGAGTAGAACAGTAAGAAAGAGAGACAGGTGTCCTGGGGCATTAAAGAGAGGTCAGACTGAAGATTGTTCATTGGTATGAACAAAGAGGTAAGAACCAGGCTTGGTGACCTGTGTCTGTAATCTTAGCTCCTTGGGAGGCTGAGGTGGGAGGGTGCTAAATTCAAGGCCAGGTTGGGCACCTCAGCGTAGTGGTAGAGAGGTAGAGCGCTTGCCCAGTAGCCGTGTATAAGGCCCTTGGTTGAATTTCCAGTACTAAGGGGAGGGGGACCATGCACTGAAGCACTGTCACCCAAAGAGATGAGGGAAACGTTTATTAAGGGACAAGGCTACAGATTAAACATATATCAAGCCAAGATGTATCAGAGGGACAAAGTGCTGGGGTTCAGGTACCAGAATCTGTTATTAACTTGGTTACAAACCCAAAGGAGTTCATGACTCAAGAAGAAATAGAGACACAGAAAAAGAAACTCATGAGCAGAACGGAACAGGTCCCCTTCTTCGGTTATTTTTTTAAGGGCCTGGGAATGTCTGCATAGCCACTGTGCCTGGGATGCAAATCAGATTATGCCAGCAGGAGAGATAAGAAACACCGTGTGCTTGGCACACAGTGGGCCTCCGTAATTCTTGTTAAAATGGTGAGCTAGGAATGGTGGCTCATGCCTTACAACCCAGCACTCAGAAGGGGGAGGCAATGGACCAGGTACTGGAAGCCACGTTTGGCTACACAGTGAGTTCTAGGATAGCCTGAGCTATGCAGTGAGATCCTGTCTCAAAACCAAAACCAAAACCAAAGATGAGTAGCAAAGCTAAGATTAAAATGGAATCATTCCAAGGGTGGTATAGAGAAGGGGATAAACTTAGACAATTTGTAACAATCCGGTTGACACAACCCTTGGGCTGGCAGGGTTAGGGTGTGTTTATGAGTGGAGGTGGGAGCAGTTGAAGATGGTCATGGCAGCTAACCTTTACTGTGTGACTATGTGCCAGGCATTCTGTTGACGCCTTATACTGACTACGAAATGTGGTGTTGGCTTTTGAAGCATTCTCTGTTAGAGATTATATACAACCTCTTGAATTCGTTCCTTTCAGGCCCAGAAAGATGGTTGAGCGGGTTAAGAGCACTTGATGTTCTTACAGAGGAAGTTTGATTCCCAGTACCCACATCGGGCAACTCACAGCTGCCTGTAACTTCAGCTCTTATGGGTCTAAAGTCTCTGGCCTCTGCGCGCGTGTGCATGCACACACACACACACACACACACACACACACACACACACGCACACATTAAAAATAAAATAAATCTTAAAAGACACGACTTTACCTCCCATCCCTCTCCTCTCCTCTCAGTGTGTGCTGAGCTCTTCCTCCATTTCCTGCTCCCCACAGCTCCCTGTCTCATCTGTTAGGCCAGGGCACCAACTAAATTAGTCATCAGGCCGGGAACTGGTCGCTGGTTTCAGCTTTACCCTTCACCAGCTGTGTAATTTTCGTTAGAGAACACTCACAATCTGTTACCAATGACTGAGTGTGTGGCTGTCACACTCAGTCATAGCCTCTGCCTTATATGTCCTTGACAACAAGTCCCAGGACAAAAGAAACGGTGCCAACCACAGGGCAGATACGCCTGATGATGTCCTAACGTGGATGACGTCAATGTCTGTACAGCCAGACACAGGGATTATGGGCTTTTTTCCCCTGTGTAGGTTGTTACTGCTTCCATTAAAAAAAAAAAGGATAAAATATGAAACTCCTTTTCTTCATCTTACTTTCATGGCTACCATTATATTTATTCCCATTTTAGCAAACTCCACAGAAACCTGTCTATATGTACTGTCTCCTTTCTTCTGACTTGCTCTTTGGCAAATAAGGCTGTCAATCCTTGTTCCTGTCAATCGAGACACCCGGTGACCTCTCGGTTGCTGCTCTTACAGGCCAGCTGTGCTCTGTTAGATCACCTCTCTTTGGCACACTGTCACTGTGAGGTTCTGGGGTGCCAAACACTCCTGGGACGACCTCCTGACTTCTCCTCAGGTTCTCTTTCTGTCTCTTCCTTTTCTCCCCAATTTCACAGAAGAAGCCAGATTCTTGACTACTTCTCTGTTCTTGCATTCACTATGCAATGCTAGCCCACCCAATGGCTTTTAGTCTTACCTGCATAAAACCCATTCCCAAATGTATCTCTCAAGCCCAGACCTCATTCCTGGATTCCAGACTCAACTACTCCAGCTGCCTTTGCAACACTCCCACTGTCCAATATGAAGCAAGCTGAACACATCCCAAGATGCACTTCTCCCCCTCTGGCAAACTCTGCCTGCAGTCACCTCATCCTTCTAGGTGCTCAGGTCAGAAAGTCATAAGCCTCCTCCTTCAATAACTAAGCATTCATTAACCTTTCGGGATCCATCTAGAAAACATATGTGCTGGCCCTTCTGCAATCTGGCTCCCATGACACCTCTCCAGCTTCCTCTGCTGCTAGCCACACCCCACCTCTTGGTGCTCCCCTTTCTGTACCTGAAGCCTGCAGCTCTCCCTTGGGACTTTAGCACTCGTTCTCCCCTCTGTCTCCTAGAGGACCAGAGTGCACACCGTCCCCTCGCAAGCGCTTACTCAGCTGGCACCTGTTTAACAAGGACACCCACGAGCACTGTATTCAAGCTGTAGCCTTGGGCTGCATTCTCTGCTGTTCTTTTAATTAGCAGTTACTGTTCTCCAATATATCTACCTGTTTGTTATATCTAGCGTTTATTTTTGCCTCTTCTGCTAGAATGCAGCTTGCATAAGGGCAGGACGTGTGCTGTCCATTGATGTCTCCCCAACCCTTTCATCACTGCCAACATATGCCAAGTTGCTCAAGAACATCTCTGAAGGGAACAAATGATTCAAGTGAAGAGAAACAGTCTTGTATGCAACCAAGCAACCCAGTGTCATTTCTTAATGTCTTGTAAAGTCCTCCCTTAGAGTCTGGAGAGATGGTTCGGTGGTTAAGAGCACTTCCTGCTCTTCCAGAGGACCAGAGCTTTGCTCCCAGAACTCAGGTCAGGCTACTCACAACAGCAGCAGCCTCTAATTTTGGCTGATGCCCTCTTCTGGCCTCCCAGGGCACTGCACCTATGTGCACATACCTCTCTTCCACCACATACACTCACAAATAAAAACAAATCTTGAAAAAGTCCTTCCCTGAAGGTTCTCTGGAAATCTACTTTCTGTGTGTGTGTGTATGTGTGTGTGTGTTGGGGGTATGTGTGTATGAGTGTATGTGTATATGTTAGGGGCTATGTATGGGCATGTATGTATATATGTATGTGGGTGTGCTAGCCTGTGCATGTATATGTGGAGGCAGAAACTGACTTCCGGTTCCTTCTCTATTGCTTTACAACATATTTTTTGAGACTACACCTAGCACTTGATATTCGACTAGACTGGCGGGCCAGCAAGCCCCCCAGATCTGCCTGTCTCTGCCTTGCCTGATGCTGGAGGTACAGGCACACGTCACTATGTCCTGCTTTTTGTTGGGTGCTGATGATCCTAATTCAGGCCCTCGAGCTTGCACAGCAAACTTTTCCCTACTGCACCAGGGAACCTCCAGAAACCTACCTTTCCATTGGTTCCCACACGCACCCAGGATTGTCTGTAACAAAGTTTTGATAAGTACAAAGCCTTTTCTTCATGAGAACATACGTAATTAAGACAGGGGTCCAGTGAAGCAGGACACAGACTGCAGGCTGGTGCCTGTGCTCTGCTCTTGGCAAATAATGGAAGTGTCACAGTGTCGCCAGCCAGCAGATCTGGGGAAACTCAACTGTTGAGAACTGCGACAGGACGCTGAGATTTGGGTTAAATTTGCTGTAAATTGTGATTTAAGCAGTCGCTAGAATTGCTCTTCCAATCAACAGAGCTAGGTAAGAGGCAAGATCAAGATGAACTATAACCGGACAACACCGGATACCTGCAAAGAGGAAATGGGACTTTACACAGCCAACAGCAAGGGTGTGGATCTCATTGCTTCTAAATGAGGCATACACACAAGATATAAAAGGGAGGAATATGAGCACGCTTACATTCCAGGCCGAGAGGCCATCTGGGGTAACAGTCTTTCCTCTGGAGTACAACCCACCTGCTCCTCCCTGTCATTGCTGTAGCCTGGTCTGGCTGGCTCCAGCCCTAAGCTCTTCTGTCATTCTCCCGGCCTGAGGGAGTTCCCAGAGAATGCCTCTGGGTGAGGCAGAGAGGGTGGGGATGGGACAAGAGTTACATGATCGGAGGGGGTTCAGTGACTAGTGGCCCTGGCAATGGCGGCAAGACTGCCTCTCCGACAATATCACCACAGAGCTAGGATTAGGACAGAGGCCAACCCAGACAGTGGCACTGCCTGGCATGTGTCTGTTCCGGGGTTAGCCCATATGCTGGCTAGAGGACTCTCTGGGGGACATCACAGAAGATACACAGATGCTAGGACCAGCAAACTGCTTAGCAGAGCCCCTAAGAGGGCTGAGTGAACCACTCTTATGATGGCCCTTTCATTTCTCAGAGAAAAGAGACAGACAGTAGGAGCAGGCTCCTTCTTGGCTTTGTCGCTTTCTGGCTGGGTGCACCATGCTTTGGAACCTGAGATGGGTTTTGTTAAACAGTAACAGTATTATCCGGTCTAGCAATTTGTGTGAATCAGCAAGGCAATACAATATGCAGTGTGTGCCACATTCTAGCCATCGGCAACCCAGAACCATAAATGTGAAGGGCTGCAGAGAGGTCAACAGGAGCTGAGTGGTCAGGATCCTTGTGGCCTCATGGGTGTGAGTGACCCATTGAGTCTTCTGAGACACCAACCTGTTCAGTAAAAACTGTGTCCTTGGGACTGTGTTTTGGAGCATGGGGATAGAAACAGAGAGAGATAGGGTCAGAGAAGGAGAGATGGAGTTGTCTCTGTGTCAGTAGAATAGACAGCAATGTACACGTGGCCAGCATGAAGGAAGGGAAGGACTCAAGTAGGCGGGTGGCTGCAGTAAGCTGTGTACATAGAGGCAGGAAGGTGAGCCTGAGTGACCCTCATAGAAGAGTCCTGGGAAGCATGGTGGCTCATTTAGAAGTGAAAATGCGTTTTAGATAAAGAGGTCATAGCAGGGTCAAGGTATACAGGTACCAGTGTTCAGCAGAGGTAGAATGAGCATTGTAAACCAGGAGCGCTGGAGCTACAGCCAGAGGGTGCTAAGAGTTTCCATGATCCTTTGTAGGATGGGCTTTTTAAACTTTTTTTTTTTAAATCTTCTAGATATTAGTCTTTTGGAAGGTATGTAGGCACACGCGCGACATGACTGCCTATAGGGACCAATACCACCCTTCCCTGTTCCCCAGACCCGGGAGCCTAGGCACTCTTCCCCCACAGAGGGCAGATGTGAGAGAGGGAGGCAGTGATGCTGGGGCGTGCAGCGGCAGGTGAGCAGCTCTGCCATAGAGCTCCTTGTTACCTGGAAGGTCCCCTCCTCGGAAGGATGCAACGATTCCCATTCGGGAGAGTCCATGAACTGGTACGGAAAGATGTAGTGCAGAAACTGCCCATCCTGGCTCACTCGAACCCTGACGAAAGGAAAGAAGACACTGTCTGGGAAATACTGCCCGTATGCCCTCTGCCGAAGTCATGTATGGCTGAGTAGCTCAAATCCTCCAGCAGAAACACCTCGCTAAAGTGTGGAGAGGCCAAAGCAGATGTGACCCAGTGAAGAGAGAGCAAACTCTCATGGCCTTTCTCCTCCCCACCATGCATGGCTCTCTACTCCAGACTGCAGAACTAGAGTCCTGAGGATTGGGGGAGTGTAGGCGGAGGCTACTTGTTCTTTTCCTGGTCTCCCAGACCCAAAGTAATTACACAGAAACTATATTAACTAAAACACTGCTCAGTCTATTAGATCAGACTTCTTATTAACTCTTACATCTTAAATTAACCCATTCCTATTATTTTATATTTTACCATGAGGCTCGTAGTTTACCAGTAAAGTTCTGGGGAGATGGGGGTAGCTATATGGTGTCTCCCTGACTCTGCCTTTTTTCCTTCTCTATCTCTGCTTGGAATTCCTGTCTTGCTCTGTTTTGCGCTACCATAGGCCCAAAGCAGATTCTTTATTAACCAATGGTAACAAAACATGTTTACAGTATACAGAGGGGAATCCCACATCACCTCTCCTTTTCTGTCTAAATAAAAAGAAGATTTTTAACTTTAACATAGTAAAATTACATATAAAAAACAGATATCAAGCAAGAATTACAGTTACAATATTTATATCTATTTTATCTTTTATTATAACTAAGGAAAACTATAACTATCTATCCTTCAACTCCATCAAAAACTCCAGAAGGCTATATTACCTAAGTAAATAAGAATTACATTGTAAGCAACTTCCAAAATTCTAGAAATGACAGAGACATCTTGCTGTCTGAACAGTCACCCAAAGTTCTTCTGTGATGTTGGAGCATCCATCTTCAGCCCACAGGCCCATAGTATCTGGCAGACATTTTCATGAAGCAGAAGATTTCAAAGACAGTTCTGCCTGTATTGCAGATTGTCAGTCACTTTCTTCTGTGTCCTGCAGAATGTCTAGCAGACTCTTTCATGAAGCAGGAACACTGAAGGGCTGTCTCATCTTTTATAGGCAACTTCAGCAGTCATTTTTCTGTGGGTCATGCATGTCTAGCTCATACAGCATACCATCAAGCAGTCCAGCAACACTAGTTTCTTGCCCAAATGGCTAGCAAACTCCATAAAGAGCCTCTTTGATGCACATAATCCTCTTGAAATAGATTGGTGCTGCCAGAAGCAAAGGAGTCTCATTGTCATAAAAAGTCCTAAGTTCTTAAAACATTTTAAATTTCATATTCTGTACATCCTTGAAAGATTTGAAGAATACCTATCTATCTGAAATATATCTCTGCACATCTAGAAAACTAACATGACTACAAGCTTGACTATTATAGATGAATGTCTATTAACCTGCACTTCTTAATCATACGTTACATTTTTAAATGAGCTGCACAGAGACAATACCTTAATCAAGAACAGAAATTATACATGTAACATAATTGACCAATTACAGGCCAATCTCACTCATGAACATCGACGCGAAAATTCTCAATAAAATACTGGCAAACCGAATCCAAGAACACATTAGAAAAATGATCCATTATGATCAAGTCGGCTTCATTCCAGAGATGCAGGGCTGGTTCAACATTCGCAAATCTATCAATGTAATCCATCATATAAATAAACTGAAAGAAAAAAACCATATGATCATCTCACTAGATGCTGAAAAAGCATTTGACAAAATTCAACACCCATTTATGATAAAGGTGTTGGAGAGACTGGGGATACAAGGATCATACCTAAATATAATAAAAGCAATATACAGCAAGCCGACAGCTAACATCAAACTGAATGGAGAGAAACTCAAAGCCTTTCCACTAAAATCAGGAACGCGACAAGGCTGTCCACTCTCTCCATACCTCTTCAATATAGTGCTTGAAGTTCTAGCAATAGCAATAAGACAACATAAGGAGATCAAGGGGATTCGTATTGGAAAGGATGAAGTCAAACTTTCGTTATTTGCTGATGATATGATAGTTTACATAAGTGACACCAAAAACTCTACCAAAGAACTCCTACAGCTGATAAACACCTTTAGTAACGTGGCAGGATACAAGATCAACTCCAAAAAATCAGTGGCCTTCCTATACACAAAGGATAAAGAAGCAGAGAGGGAAATCAGAGAAACATCACCTTTCATGATAGCCACAAATAGCATAAAATATCTTGGGGTTACTCTAACCAAGGAAGTGAAAGACCTATTTGACAAAAACTTTAAGTCTTTGAAGAAAGAAATTGAGGAGGATACCAGAAAATGGAAAGACCTCCCCTGCTCCTGGATTGGGAGAATCAACATAGTAAAAATGGCAATTCTACCAAAAGCAATCTATAGATTCAATGCAATCCCCATCAAAATCCCATCAAACTTCTTCACAGACCTTGAGAGAACAATAATCAAGTTTATATGGCAAAACAAAAAACCCAGGATAGCCAAAACAATCTTATACAATAAAGGAACTTCAGGAGGCATTACCATCCCTGACTTCAAACTCTATTATAGAGCTACAGTATTGAAAACAGCTTGGTATTGGCATAAGAACAGAGAAATCGACCTTTGGAATCGAATAGAAGACCCAGATATTAACCCACAAACCTATGAGCACCTAATTTTTGACAAGGGAGCTAAAGGTATACAATGGAAGAAGGAAAGCATCTTTAACAAATGGTGCTGGCATAACTGGATGTCATCCTGTAAAAAAATGAAAGTAGATCCATATCTATCACCATGCACAAAAATCAAGTCCAAATGGATTAAAGACATCAACATTAATCCGTCCACTTTGAACCTGATAGAAGAGAAAGTGGGAAGTAGTCTACAAGATATAGGCACAGGAGCCCTCTTCCTAAGTAGGACCCCAGCAGCACAGACAATAAGAGAAACAATGAATAAATGGGATCTACTGAAACTGAGAAGCTTCTGTAAAGCAAAGGACACTGTCAATAAGACAAAAAGGCTGCCTTCTGACTGGGAGAAGATCTTCACCAGCCCCTCATCAGACAAAGGTCTGATCTCCAGAATATACAAAGAACTCAAGAAACTAGACACTAAAACTCTAATTAACCCAATTAAAAAATGGGGTACTGATCTGAACAGAGAATTCACAACAGATGAACTTCGAATGGCCAGAAGACACTTAAGGTCATGCTCAACCTCCTTAGCGATCAGGGAAATGCAAATCAAAACCACTTTGAGATACCATCTTACACCTGTCAGAATAGCTAAAGTTAAAAACACCAATGATAGCCTATGCTGGAGGGGATGTGGAATGAGGGGAACACTCATCCATTGTTGGTGGGAATGCAAACTTGTGCAGCCACTTTGGAAATCAGTGTGGCGGTTTCTCAGGAAACTGGGAGTCAACCTCCCTCAGGACCCAGCAATTCCTCTCTTGGGAATATACCCTAGAGATGCCCAAACATACTACAAAAGCGTTTGTTCAACTATGTTCATAGCAGCACTATTTGTAATAGCCAGAACCTGGAAACAGCCTAGGTGCCCCTCAATAGAAGAATGGTTAAAAAAGGTGTGGAACATATACACATTAGAGTTTTACTCAGCGGTAAAAAATAATGACATCTTGAATTTTGCATGCAAATGGATGGACATAGAAAACGCTTTACTGAGTGAGGTAAGCCAGACCCAAAAAGAGGAACACGGTATGTATTCACTCATAAGTGGATTCTAACCATAATTAAAGGTCTTTGAGCCTATTATTCGTGATCCTAGAGAAGCTAAATAAGAAGACGAACCTGATGAAGATTATTTACCTATCCGCCAGGAGGTAGGAAATAGTCAAGAGTCCCAGGTAATCTTGGGTGCATGGGGGGGGGGGGTGGGAGGGTTGTTGGAAGGGGAGAGGGTTAGAGAGAAGGGAGTAGGGGAGGAATGGAGAAAGCTCGGTTGACCGGGATGGGGGGAAGGGAGGAAGGATGAATGTGGGATCAGGGAAGAATATATTTCAACTAAGGGAGTCATATTAGAGTTTACAGGAAACTTGATTATATATGGGATCCCAGGTCCAAGGAGAGATCCCCAGATTGTTCTCTGGACAGAGGAGGGGGTGCCTGAACCGGCCTTGGCCCGTGACCATACTGATGAATATTTTGCTTATCACCATAGATCCCTCATCTGGCGTTGGATGACGAAACAGATGGAGGCCCGCGTTGGAGCACCGAACTGAGCCCCCCAAGATCCAAACGAGGAGCAAAAGGAGGAAGAAAATGACGAAGGACTGCGAGGGATACTATCACCCACTGATACAAGGGGTCGGATCTAATGAGAGTTTACCAAGTCCAGATGGACCGTGACTGAACGAGCATGTGATCCAACCAGATTCTCTGAATGTGGCTGGTTTTTCTGAATGTGGCTAGCCTGCAGTCTTTCCGAGAAGCCATTGACAATGACACTGGGACTGGTTTCCTCTGCATATACTGGATTTTTGGAATCCAGTCTGTTTGTATGCTCACCTTCCTGGACCTGGAGTGAGGGGGGAGGAACTTGGACTTCCCACAGGGCAGGAGACCCTGACTTCCTTTGGGGACAAAGAGGGAGGAGGAGAGGGAGGGGGGGAGTGGGAGGGCGTTGGGAGGAGGGGCGTAAATGGAAACTTTTTATAATTTAATAAAACTACTAAAAAAAACAAAAAAAAATATGAAGCTACCAAGAAGATGCAGTAAACTCTGATTTTTTTTCTATCTAGAATTCCTTTATAAGCTCTCTCAGGTTTTTTATGGATGTAGTCAGCCCACGTTGGTGCACCATTTTCTAGGCAGAGGCTGTTTGTCCATTTCCTGGCCACCCAGACCCAAAATAATTACACAGAGACTATACTAATTAAAACACTGCTTGGCCTATTAGCTCAGGATTCTTATCAACTAACTCTTACATCTTAAATTAACCCATTCCTATTATTTTATATTTTACCACGAGGCTCGTGGTTTA